CAAGCGGTCTGAATATAGGAAACATACATAAAATTTTATCAGTAAATTATGTGATGTGAATCTTAAACCTTATGTGTAAATTGATTAATCTACCTTCATTGTAAACCCCATACCCATAGGAGTTGAAGAATGTAATCACAGTCCAATTATAACTTTCTTTGTTTGTTGACTGTTTGGTTTGAGAACTTTGTTTGTTGATTGTTTGGTTTGAGAATTGAAAAGTCTATTAGAATTATTATTAATTGTTTGGTCTCCCCTTTCCTTATCATATGGCTGTAACTGTCATATGATTGGTCATTGCAAAAAATTGAAAGAGGGTTTACACGCTAGCGAGGCTGCTAGCACGCGCATTGAATATGTAATCTTGTCTCTTGATGATGATAACAGGCTTTTCCTTCATGCAATAGTATGCGTAATTAATTTATTCTGCAGCCAAAGAATTTCAAGAATTACGTTATGAAGAACGTATACCCAGTCCTCCTGTGCATCAATATGAAGTTGATTTTATGTGTTACAAATGAATTTGATGTTTTTGGCTTGGCGCAAATTTTGCCTAACATGTAGTTGAAATGTGACTAGGCCAAAAAATTTGAGCGTATAGAATGAAGTATGAAGATCGATATAGACTTGTCCATTTCCCTTTTCTTCGGAAGAGGTACTAAAAGGTAGACGAATGAGATGAAATCAGATTTTTAAGCTTTGACGAATCAGATTACCAGCATTCTCGTTCTGGGGGAAAAGAATAAACACAAACAGATTCATTGTGCCAGTTCTTTCTTCTTTTCCTTTTTCAATAAACAAGAGACAGTAATTACGTAGCCAAAGTTTGTATTAATGCGAGTGCAGTCGCATACCAATTTCCTTTTTTTTTTTTCTAATAAGTGAAGGATGAGATTTCAGAAGTAAGAAAAGGTAGCGAAATTTGAATTTAGGATCTCTCTGAGCCATTTGGATACACCACTTTTGTTTAAACAGGATAAACCAATTACCCAATTATTCCTTTAACTTTATGGACTATCTTTCAAGTGTGCGACTGAACCATTCAATGGTACGAAGTCAAATGCTAGAAAATTCATTACTAATCAATAATGCTATTAAGAAATTTGATATCCTTGATTTGGCAGATTCTGATATTATTGACCGATTTTGGCATATATGCAGAAATCTCTCTCATTATTATAGCGGATGTTAATTATTAGCCTGCAGAAAACTGTAAAGAGGATCTTGTAGCATAAGGTTAGAAAGGAATTTAGGGCAGGAAAACACATGCTTATATTTTCAAAGCATTACGTCATGAAAACCTAAGAATCACCTGCTGATTTGCTCTAATATAGTGACAAATTCCTAACACAATTTGAAAATACGTGATCGTGCTATAGCTAAGTTACCTCATGCACAAGCTTTTCTCCTGATTTTGGAAAGTGTTAACCTTGAAATACGCACAGAAATTCATGGATACGGTGAGGTAAATTCCGATCCGTTGATTACCCTTTTTAAGTTTATCAATAACTTTACGTTATCTTAACCATCTTTCATGAATTTCATACTTTTGATCTTCTTTTGTACTTTTTTTTTTTTTTTGGTTCGAAGCGTCACGCTTTTACCTTTAGCAAACCTAATGTCCAACTAAAAATTTGAGCATATGATTTCCAAATTAATAAGGTCCCTGTTAATGATACCAAAGCAACTGTACATCATAAGCATTTTGTGCACTAGGTGGTTATATCTTGACCAAAAAAAACAAAAGGACCAAGAATCATTGATCAACCGGTCATAGCTCCGTAGTAGTATTTGCGAACGTAGCCTCAGTCGGAATACCGACCCAACTTGTACCGATTTGCTGAAAGTTTTTCATTCTTATTTCCGTTTTTGAGCACGGGTTTTTCTGGTAGAATTCTATCTTGTCTTTACCATGAATTATTCTAACCATCCGGCGCTGCGCAGATGTCAGCCCTCATACCATGCATGGTCTTTGCGGAAACATTATGTGTTTTTGGTAAACAGCAAGAATTGGAAGGGCAGATGTTTTTGGTGCGCCCTCCAATCAAGAATTGGAACCTCATAATCATTATACTTTTCTCTCATGGCTATCTTGGTTCAGGACTCAACATTTTAGTGTTCTAGGCACAGAAAATCACACCAATCCATTTTAAATTTGGTGGTTAAACTCTACTATGGTGACGATATTGTGAGGGAGGTCCTGCCTGCAGAAAGACAGCTCGACGTAACGTACTCGACATGAATGGTAACTTCCCCAGCAAAAAAAAAAAAAAAAAGAAAAAGAAAAAGAACACATTCGAGCACGCAGAAAGAAAAAAAGATAACGTAAATTAAGGATGATAAAAACTGAAACAAAATCCATCTTGCTCGTTTTTAACGTATGGAAAACCCAAGGAATCATGGTTTTTATTTTTTATTCATTGTCAAATGCACTAAGGGTCTGTTTGATAACATAAAAAAGTGCTGAATCTGAATTTTTTCAGACATTCAGATGTTTTGAGTGTTTGATAAATGAAAATCCATTTGCTGAACTTGTTAAGTAGTGCTGAACTTGTGTGTATTTTTTTCATCACAAGAATCCTAACTGAATGCTTAATTCTAATAGAAATCAATAGAATTACTTCAATTACCTTATCTTATCTACCAAATCTACCATTGTTTGTTAATTATGTTCAAAATTCTTATATAATTAAACAATCTAATATTATCTATCTAATAATTTTCTATTTCTTTTTTCTCCCTTTTGAATGATTTTCACATTTTCTTCATACTCCTCATATAATATATTTCATCTTTTATATTAATTTGATTTAAAAATAAATATTGTTATTTTCATACCTCACATTTTTAGCTAATTAAATCATAGGTTCAATTTCTTTTTTGGATGAAAAGATATAAGGGCAAATTTGTCAAATTTAACTTATTAAGCATTCAGTTATAAATGTTTATCAAACAGTATAAATAGGTTTAACATTAAAATTCAGACATTCATATATTTCTTTTCAGTACTTAAAATTCAGCAAATTAATTGTTTCAGTATTCAGATTTCAGAATTCAGATTCAATTTTATCAAACGGAACCTAAGTTTGAGTACGAAGATTTGTACGGGTTGTTGGCTTTCTTGTTTCCTTGATTGATTGAATATGGGGCCGAGAGGATGGCCGAATCATGTAGACGTATTTGTGACGCCCTAGAAGCTGATTACCTTTTACATTCTCTTCTGCAAAAATCTTTCTCCAGCAAATATTAGTCTTAGATAGACCACACGAGCATTTTCTACATTAACTTTAAAATTTTTAGTTGGAAACTAATTTTAGAAATAGAAAAAGAAGAACCGAAAAACTTTGCTAATGGGAGCTAGTAGTTACGAATATAGTAATGCCACAGATTTAAAAATACTGAATTAAAGGGGAAAAATGAAAAGAAAATATTCGGTGAACAAAAGAGAAAAGTATACATGCAGAAATAAATCCCCGCCTCCCTAAAATGGAAAAATAAAAAGACAACATTATCTGGGCCTCAGTCTCCGATGGGCAGAGTTGGCTAAGGCCCAGGAATTTTACATGCTCATCCAAACTTAACGGCCCGAGTAATGGGGCAAGTTAGATGGGTTATTTCGAATTTTATTGCTGATATATGATTTTCGGATATTGCCTTAATCCGTGATGATGATTGAAACTGAATTCATCCAAATTTTTCTAACAAAAAAAAAAAAAACATTTCCCATTCCTTTAAGTTTTGCAGGAATCTCGTTTACAATTGTCGGTGAGTTTTGTCGGTGAGTGATTAAATGGTTTATGATTCTCGATATTATGGTGATTGAAACTGAATCTACCTAAACTTTTCTAACAAAAAAAAAAGTTTTGCGGGATTCTCGTTTACAATTGTGATTGCACAGCACAAATTTACGGTAGAGGTAGATTAATTATTAATCGTATCGATAAAATTGAGTTGGAAACACAAATTTTAGAAAGCGACAAAGTACTTTTTATCCGTTTCTATTTTAGTGTCTATATTTACTATACTAATGCGACTATATAATTTGAAAATGACTACATGTAGAAGCCCATGTCTATTCCGCAGATGCAAGCATGTAGACATGACAACAAAATTGAAGTATTTATAGTACATTTATGACTCATCGAGTGCAGATGAACAAAGCTATCCGCTAGGGCTACCTAATATGATAAGTGGGTTTTTTCTTCAATTGTTATACTTAGTTTTGGAAATTCTTGTACTGGCTGGTGGATGCAGAAATGAGAAATGCTGGCACAGCTTGCCTGTTTGTCTATGCATAAGTGGCGTTTGAAACGCAGAAGTACCCAGCTTTGCAAATCAAGCAAGGCAAGTTGCTTCTCATCTCCTACTAAGCTGTAACTTCTTACATGAACTCTTAAAAAGTAGTAAAGCCATTAACTTAAATGTTACACGAAACAAGGTGGGAGGGCAATTGATACACACTGAAAATGGAACAACGGAACGATGATATTATACTTGATGAATATATATAAGACACTCAGTATTTGAACCAATGGTTAATGCTGTTCTTCTATGCAATGTGAAAATTCGAGGATCGAACTATGCAAGTATCAATATTCGATCTGCAGACGTTTAAAAGTGAACCTAAAGCTATAATCATTTGGTTTGCAAAGCGGAATCAATGTGCACCAATTGTTCGCCTTGCACAGATCATCCAATGGACTATGGATTAAACGGCAGATTAATTGCTTTTATGTTACATCAATTCAAGCTTGCTTGATCTGTTTAATTGCGGCCGTTGGAGCTTCATTCGGCCAATTCCCAACTTAAATGGTGATGTAGGGAAATTCTTTACATAAGCAATAATAATTTTTTAGGAAGTCAGAATTATACCTTGTACGTACAAGCAACTTTTCTTGCATGTTTTCTCTACATAAGTAAGTACCATATGCACATATACAACATTTTATAGCCAAAAGTTCTCTGGGGCTAAAAACACGAGCAACAAGCAAGATTGAAGCATGGCCAATAAAGCAAGCATAGCACAAAACGCATTTGTTGGCCTCAGCAGCCTCATCAAGCTTCTTCCAACAGGGACCGTCTTCGCCTACCAGTTCCTCAATCCTTTGTTAATCGGCGGCGACGGCGACAGCTGCAAAGTAGCTAACAAGGTCCTATCTTACATTCTAATAGTGGTTTGTGGGCTTTCTTGCTTTTTCTCAAGCTTCACAGATAGCTACACGGATAGTGACGGAGAAGTTCATTATGGTATAGCAACTTTCAAGGGTTTTTGGCCGAATCCTGATGACAAGGATCTGTCGTCCTACAAGATTCGATTTGGGGATTTTGTGCATGCGTCTTTTGCTTTGTTGGTGTTTGCTGGTGTAGCCCTTTTGAACGATAATTCCGTCGACTGCTTCTATCCATCTTTCGAGAAGCATAAGAAGGTTGTGGTGTCGGTGTTGCCTACTGTGGTTGGTGCTGTTTCAAGCGCTGTTTTTGCCTTGTTTCCCACCAAGCGCAACTACATAGGCTATCCTCCTTCCAGCCAGAAATCTAATCCCCCCAAGTCTTTACTGGATGGATAAATATGCTAAGGATTCGTATACACGATAACGAAAGTATATGCACTATCAGTATATATAATAAGATTAACTCAATTGTATCTGTGATTATTGATTGTAATGCATGGAAGATCGAAGTCTGTGTGTCTATGAGTGAATGACATTACTATTTTTTTCCTTTTAATTATTTATGAGCGTTTTTATTATATGCATCATGCTATTTTCAAAACTTGTGCACCACTGACAAAGGTATATGCTTTTATTTGGTCATGAGTCTCTTCCTGAAGAATATAAATAATCTGTTAGTAGCTAGTTCATAAGAGTATTGGGAAAAGTACTGATATAGAAGATTATAATCCTAATGAAAAATAAATTAGAAGAAAAATTGACAAACAACATGGCGTCTTATCAGCACTGTGGATTTCAAAATTAAGAAAACTGAATTCTAGATACTCGAATGCCAAATTAAAGGCATCAGATAGATGTTGGTAGCTCGTGCGTGATGGTAGCATTCGTAAATGGCTTAAAGTTTGACTTTTTGGTACTAATAAGTAGTATGTATATCGACATAAATATGGAAATTGAAAGAGAAATAATTAAACCCTTCAAAGGCATCAAAATGCTTATATAGTTCTTGCCATTGAACTTTTATCTAAGAACATTACTCAAAAGAAGATCAAACAAATGGTGGACATTTACCGCGTCAAAGAAGGCAAGAAAGAAGTTTGCTCCCTCTCCCTCGTTTTTATTTATTGGAGTTTTCTGACGGGTGTCTAATGAGCATTTGTTAATATAGTTGTATTTCATCCAACCTATCATGTATATATGTACACTAACAATTATTACCTTTCTTTCCATTTATATACTTTTCATAATTAATCTGCTTACATTTATACGCTTTCCTTAATTAATTTTATATTTTTAAAAATGTAACACTTAAAATACATCTTAAAGAGTATCCTATGAGTACTCTAACCTTAACGAGTGTACTCGTTAGACAGATCATTTATTCATTTATTTATTTAAATTTCCATTGAGAAGGTAGGCAACAAGTATAAATATCGGTGGATTTTCATTGAGAAGGTAGGCAAGAAGAATAATCTTTGTGGGTTGTCTATCTACTAGGGAAACTGGAAACTTCTTGTTAGATCTTACGCAGCTATATACTCTCAATAGTGACATCCTACCAAAGTAGCATCCTATTTGAGAATAAACCTCAGAAGCAAGACTTTGCACCTTGATCATAGTTTGCACCTTGAATTCTCTCTCCAATTTTGGTAGTACAGATATATATAGTTTGCAGCTATATACTCTCAATAGTGACATCCTACCAAAGTAGCATCCTATTTGAGAATAAACCTCAGAAGCAAGACTTTGCACCTTGAGTATCAATCATAGTTTGCACCTTGAATTCTCTCTCCAGTTGTCTCTGAATGCATGACATATGTCCTTAATTATTTATTAACATTAGTTAGAATTAGTCAACTATAAAATCATCATATCCTTTTTTAGTGAATAAAGACACATGTCATGCGTTCAAATGTATAATGTGAAAAGTGGAGAGACGATCCATGGGAAAAAAGCCAAATCCAACATCATTTGGCCAAACTTATCGTCACAAGGTCATCTCTTAAATTAATTACTGTAAATTCACATGGACAAAAAAATAATTGAAGTCAGAAATAACGTTGTTTTCAAAGATCAATTCACATCATAGACTAATCCTCTCTCACAGAATAATACTATTATTCTTATGGATTAAATTTTTATGCACGACCAATATAGAAAATTTTTTTATCTTAACAATTACAAATATATGCTATTTGTGTAAAAATCAAATTTAAAAATTTAAAATTAAATTACATGACATATATTCAATATCGTACATGTAAACACTAATAGTGCATGGAAAATTTATCCTATCATCATCATCATCATCATCATCATCATCATTTGTTGTGAGTGGAAGAGTTCATGATCAATACAAATGAATTACGTCTAAACATTAGTACAAGGGTGGGATGAATAGAAATAAATTACATGATCACAAAAAATATTTACTAAAATTTCAGAAATTGTCAGTTTTATTAGGGGCGTTTGATGGCTTCTTTAATTTTCATCAAATTGAAACTTCCAAGCAATCCAGTTAACTGAGTTGAAAAGGGAGAAGAATAAAGAACAGTCTTCAAATTTTACATGGGCTGGGTCAACTGAAGCAGTATTTTGGGTACCCAACGGCACACAGTCACTTCTTTAGCCTATTTGCAATCGCACAATCTCATATATGGACGTCCACTCCCAAGCCCACAAAGGATAACTAGACTCTCTGTCCTAAAGAAAGGGCATTGAATTGGTGATGGGCCATCACCAAGCGAACTAATGCGGTAAAGCAGGTAATTAATTAGTCAAACAGCTTTAAACTAGCAAAAATAAATTGTTGTTGAGTTTGCGAAAAATATAACGGTTGATTACTCATTTTTCAAATCATTATGAACACATTAATATCTTTTCTTTTTTAGGTTGGATTGCAAAGATACAGAGGAATAATCTTTCTTCTTTCATTAGGAGGAAATAAAATGAAGATTTAGACCAATAAATTGGTTTCTTCTTTGTGATAAAAGCTTTCTTTTGAAGCATAACTAATTGTATTATACAAAGTAATAAATATGCTTACACATACATCAAATAAGTACCTCTCTGCCAATGATCAAATTCTAAATACTTAAAAAAAATGCAGGCAGACCACTTTGGCTCAACTTTAGGGGAGTTTTGCACAAAGGGCAACCTGTATTTTTCATGTTCCTATAATTGCCAAAATCCTCTTGAAGTACAAGAATTTGTGATCTTTACAACTCTTTGCTTTAGTTTCTCGTGTCTTTTGCCACCCAAATGTTGAGCTGTATTTGCTGCTTTCATAATATCAACCTTGACTATGTGATGATCAGATGTGCCTTTGGATGAAATGACCGAGTATGATCCAGGCACAAAGTTGTATGGCAGGTCAGGGGAGGCCATAATATAGTCCACACGGGTTCCATATTTGCAGGTTCCCTGAACACCTGTTTCAAGAAAACGGGGAGTACTTAGAACAATTGTGTTGGATCATGAGAGACCTTTTAGGGGGTGAAATTTGTATTAAATTAAAGATAGAGTCTAGTACTTTGGCCTTTGGCAATGATGACCACTGGCTCAAATTCGCCTGGAAAGTGCTTGGCATCTGTGTATTCTTTTTCCTTCAAGAAATTCACCACTTGAGTTTTTGGTGTTGGTTTTCCCAGCTCCTCGTAATACTGTCAAGTTGAAAATTAAAAGAAAATATTTGATTAGCTGACTTCTTGTTTGCTATTAATGCTTAAAAGTCTTTTCGAAAGGTGGAGAAACAAAGAGATTGCTACCTTCACAATATTGGTCCATCTTTCAGATGAGTAATCTGATGCATCAAGAGAATTGAGGCCTCCAGCCAAAATGTGTGGATGATCACTTGACTGAATAATTGCATTGATTTGCTTCATCCTCCAATTCTCATCTAAATGGTCAAGTTGAGTGCAATAAAAGTTGAGGTCCCCCACCCATGGGACATCAATTGTAGCCTTGAGCACATTCCTGCCATTAGCAGCACAAACAAACAATTGGAGTTTGTTAATTCTTATGCATTTGCAACTGCTTAGGCTATCAAGTATATCAGTATTCTGAAGTAAAATTTCAGGACCCTTTTGGAGAAGAGAACATCATTGTCTGATGGAAAGAGCCCACAAGGCTTCTAGCGATAATGAATGGTAATGAGATGACAGGGAAGTAGGATGAAGCTGTCATTTCTGGTCATCATTAATGGATCGCTACAAGCATCGGTAATATCAAATATGCCGGTTCTTGTTTATTAGGACACAAAAGTGAACTATGAAGAGGAGAGAGATAAATTCCTAGATTAAAGTTACTCACCTGAAGTCCTTGTCATCATAAATTCTCTGAACTTTCCACTTCTTAATTGGCCATTTTGACATGATAGCATTCCCATACTCAGGAGCCCAGCTTTCTGCAAAGACATAGTACATACCTAAGGCCTCAGCCAAATTAGACAAAGGGGTCATTTGTTTCTCTTCCTCAGCTTTCACATCTTGCAAAGCCAAGATATCAGCATCCAGTTCTTTAAGCACATCATAAATGCTCTTACTTCCATCATTCATCCAGTTAGCCATGCCAAGGGGAAAGCATATGGGAGACCTCATTGGAGCTATGCTGTTTGTGTAGAAAGACACTATATTGGTCGAAGAATCTTCCTCAAAGCTAAGCACCTTGTTTTGTGCCAGTGATATCTCATTTTCAGGAAGATTTATCGAAACTTTTGGTTTTGATCTGGTGAGTTTGATCTGACTGGAAGTTAGCTCTGGATCACCAATTGTGGGGTGCAGGGGAGACTGTTTGAGTATGCTCTTTGGACGACCACTCACTGGCTTAACCCGAGTTTCACTCTTCAGATACTCTTCATCGCCAGGAATGAAAACAACTGACTTTTCAGCCTTGGGAATAGCAGGTGCAAGTGAAAACAAGGCTGCATTGAAAGTTGCAACTCGAATAGGCCTTTGTGTAAAAGCAACTTTCACTTGTCCATTTACGTAACTTGGAGAATTTTTGATTGTTGCTTCTTTGTTAAGCTGACCTTTTGAGTTCAGCTTCCCAAATCTCCTGATTACCACTTTAGGCCTCGGACGCCTCCGGAGCAACCACCTTATCCTTGAGCAAAGGCGTCGAAATCTCCTGCTTAGGATACGCAACATGCGAGACAATTTCTTATTGTACACATGCCCTGAAATCTCTCTTGATTGAAGTGTGTGCATTGAGTCCTCCAACATATGAATTTTAAGATTGCATATATGATCTGATTGGAGTTTTCAAGGGTTCACTTTTTATTTGGTGAACCCAGTTGAAAATGTGTGTTAAGGGACCTGCCAATGCTCTATAGGCATAGAGAGTGGACTGTGGAGGGGGCTATAGAGACAAAGCACATCCCAACTACTCCAAGAATT